CGGATCGCGCGGCGCATTTATTGAAAATTATTCCTCGCGTGCGAGTAAAGGGGCGGGGGGAGAACAAAAGGAAAAATCTGACTCGGTGTTCTCGAAATTGCGACTGCAGGAGGCGAACGGCCGGCGTTTGCTCTGACGGGTTGAAACACCTTAGAGGGTAATATCTTCACACCCCGGCCGTCCGCCGGTGAAGATTGCAGCCGGGCCCTTGCCCCGGGGGCCCGGGGAGGGGAATTTTTACGGAAGAGTACCTAAAAGGGCGTTCTAATTTCAAATTGTTGCTCGCGTGCAACCGGGGCGCTAACGAACGGACGCGGCAGTTTTGCGATTGCAAACTTCAACTTTCGCAACGGTCGGCTACTTACTATTCTCGTCATTTGCAAAGAGGCTGTGGTTATTAAACCGTTTGCACTTTGATCTTAGAAGCACGCAGCAATCTTCGACACGAGCGAAAACTTCGAAAATAACTCGCTGCACGTCCAATGCCCCGTTTCTACCAACGCAGTTTAACTTTAATCTCGGTTTAACTTACTTGATGTTTCTTTCTAGTTTTACGAATTAGAAAGAGATAACAGGCAATTTAAACCGAGATTAAAGTTAATCCGCATTGGTAGAAACGGGCATAAGGCCTGGTTTCATTAACGTCGTTTAATTGTAAGTTTAGTTTAATTCGTTCTTTGTCTCCTTCCAACTGTTACTTTAGAAAGAGAAGAACGTGAATTAGACTAAGAATGAAATTAAACGACGTGTGGTGAAACTGGGCCTTGGGCCTCCGGTTTCACTAACGTTGCTTAATTTAACTTTAGTTTAATTCGTTCTTTGTCTCTTTCCAACTGTTACTTTAGAAAGAAAAAAACCGTGAATTAGACTAAGAATGAAATTAAACGATGTGTGGTGTAACTGGGCCTTGGGCCTTAGGCCCAGTTTCACCCATGTCGCTTAACTTTAAGCTTTATAGTTTAATTCGTTCTTTGTCTCTTTCTGTTACTTTAGAAAGAGACAAACGTGAATTAAACTAAGCTTAAAGTTAAGCGACGTTTCGTGAAACCGGGCCTAAATCGCTCGGAAAAAATGGCAAAAAATTTAAGGGCGAGATGTCGCTTCGTCGAGAGTAACCGGTGCTTATTCAATTACCTATCAAAATTATATTTCTAATCTAACGATATTCGTACCTTGCTCGCACGTTCCCTCATAGAGCCACGATGAAAAGCGCAGTCCGATGGAACTCGCGAACGTAAATATCCGGCGTTGATTACCCGAGAATCGCGAACAAAGTACGTAATCATACGCACGACTCGTCGGCGGGATGAAAAGAGCCGAAACGACGGCGGTGGCGGCGGTGGCGACTGGTCAGCGCGAGTGTTTAAAATCGCGGTTCATCCAATTTCATCGTCGACCGTTAATGCAGAACAGCGACGGCCGGCAAGGGCCCCGCGTGCTCCGTGGACCATGCGAAGACAAAAAGATCGTTTCGCTGCCTTTTAGGCACAACGAGGTTTCTGTAACGAGCGGCGAGTGGACTCACATTTATAGTCGGTTCTTCGTCGTGGCCAGTTCAAAGCGGGCGTTATTACGCTGACTCGTCGTGCGTGAGCGACTTCTCAAGCTCGGCGATACCTCCCTTTCTCTCCGCAAGCGGAGTAAAGCGGTAAAACGAAACGGTCGAGATGTTAATTACGATTACGAACTCGAGATAGGGAACGCACTCGCCCGCCCGCCCGCCCGTCCGCCCGCGAGCGAGCGAGCGAGCCGGCGGCGCGGTTTGCGACCCGGCGGAACCTAATCGATGGAAATTTTACGACCCGCTGCTCGTATCATTAATATCGATGATGTAGCTAGTCGCGTCTAATAACTAATCGCGCCTGGTAACTTACGTACCAGCCCGAGACTCCGGCTCGAGCGTCGCCGTGTCGTGGGCGATTACCTTTCGTGTTTATGCGCAGCTATAATGTTAAAGTTGAGAGTTTACGTTGATTACGGGTAGAAAGAAAAAGAAAGAGAGAGAGAGGGGAGGGGGATTTATTTAGAATTAATCAGTGGAGCCCGACTATCTCCGGCGCCGATTTTGAAGATTAAGAATTTAATTTCGCGGAATACATTTCTGTCAATCTCTTTCTGTTCCTCCCCGCCTGTCTCTCCTATTCTGCGGATCGTTAAAAACGTAGAAAATTTGGTGGAATGAATTTCTGCAGGACGTAATTTTACCCTTCTCGAGTCGGGGGATCTATGGGGACTTCGGCAAGAGGCCGGCCCTAGGCGTTTTGTCTCTGAGGAAGGCCATCGGCATATGCAGCTCGCGTGCATCGGCGCGACCATAGGATCCGAGTAACAGGTGCAGATGCGGCGGAGGAAGCCCGATCGTTAGCCCGACAGCCCGCGGTGCATGTGTGCCTATTATGATTTCTTTCGTAATTAGTCTCTCTCTTCCCCCCCCCCCTCTCTCTCTCTCTCTCTCCCTCGTTCTCTTCGCGTCTCTCGTACGTGTCTTCGGGTGTACGTAACATTTGTTTCGTTGCATGTCTCGTGGCTCGATCCGTAACATGTGTTATACCGCATCACCCCGCGAGCCGTCAATGGCCCCTCGACTTAGCGAAGGGACGGCGCGGTTAACGATGATTTTACGTATCGCCCGTGCGAATTTGATCGCAAGCGTAGGTATATCGCTTGGGGATAAATCTGCACGGGAGAATATCAAACGTACGCCTCGCACGAAATGTCCGCGAACGTGCGAGATATACACTAGGAATCGCTGACGCCTTCCCACGTGAATTTGCGCGCGTATCAACACATTTATACATTTTGCATATACATACAGGGAAAATGTACATGTGTTCGAGTTCATGTGGGAAGGCGTCAGTGATTCCTGTACATCCGACTCGAGAAACTCCATGGCTAACGCATAAAATTACCATTTCTTCTTCTAATTCTAATTATTTTTCATTAGCGCTACTTTCTAATTATTATTCTAGGTAGTCGTCGTATTAGTATCTAGTTTTTCAGACGCTGGAGCTGATCGTAGATCTTTCAGGTCAAAACGTGTCATACTCGCACACTGAGAAAAATGTCCGATTAAATATAATCGGATAATCCAATTGCGTAATAACAAACGGATGTATCCAATTAAATTGCATATCCGGTGAAGAATATGATCGATTTGTCAATCAAATTTCATCGATAACTGCATTTCATCGGACGTATCCGTAACGTAATCGGAAAAATTAACCGTCGGAAACGCTGTTTAATCGGCGGACAATTTTTCTCAGTGCATCGTCTTACTACTATTCTTAAATTCGACTTATCTCGGGCTGAGGTTTGGATTTTCGATTTAACGAGGCGGTGCTCGTCTCCTCCGCGAGATTCTGACCGATCAATCCGAGGATGCATGCAGAACGGGTGCCCCAGAGATGGACCGGGTGGTCCTTGGTCCTGGCTACCTACGCGCACGTATATACATATACGCGTATGTACACGGCGTGATACACGTACATATGTATATACATGAAGTCAAATGTACGCGCGTATACACTGGAGAAAGCGTCTTGGCGAGGGATTTTGCAGAGGGTTGGCTGTTTGCGCCTCTCGACAAATAAGGGGAAGTCGTTATCCCGTGGATGGGAGGAGTAATTAACTGCTTCTACCTCCTTTCTGTCCGCTCCACCTCCCTCCCCTCCTCCCTCGGCATCCTCCCTTTCCAGCTTCGGCTTCTACTCGAAGGAACAGACTTAAGGAGACCCGCTTAGGCTTTCACGGGGTCGTGTCTTCATTATTCACGCTAATCTGCTCTCGCCCCGTGCTGCTGCCACCGCGAACCCTCCTTGGTGCTTCCTTTCTGTCTTCCCCCCCCCCCTTTTTCTCTCTCTCTCTCTCTCTCTCTCTCTCCCTCTCTTTCTCTATTTGTAGTAACTTTGCGGAAATTATATTATATTATTATCGTGTGGCACAACCGTGAAGGAAACGATGCGTACTACGCGATGATAGCGTTCAGTATCTTTGAGAATCGGGGAGACAGAATTAATTTTCGAATCAATATCGCGCCAAGTTGCTAATAGATTTCTCTGTGACTTTAATGTCAACGGTAATAAAAATTTATAACCGGTGTATTTGAATAAAATCAATAATATTATATTAAAATATTCTTTCCTGCTCAGGAGAGAGAACACGAAGATAATAAACCTGGAAATATCCTGCAACACTCGGTGTGAAAAAAAAACAACCAATCGATCCGCTAATTATTCGCTCCCGTCGCAGGCACGCAATAAATCTGACCAGACATTAATAACCGGTAACCGAAACACGTAAGTGCAACCGACATCGCCGTGTATATTTTACGTTTTTACAGCGGACCACCATGGTAAAGGCGCCCCGCGACGATCGCCAAATTATGATGGATTGTTTTCTCTATTAACAGCTTGTGCCGACAGAGGCGAGATGCGAGCACCCCGACCGAGATAATCTTCCACCAATTTCGACTTCCTGATTGATCATGACGATCCATCGGACGGTTCGCTCAAACGGATCGTCCGGAACGAACGAGCCGGATCGCCTGCCAATCCGAGGCCTTTCGTTATCGCGGATTTAAAAGGTGCACGTCGACACGTCTCTGAGTTCGTGAAATTAGATACGCAACTCGATTTTTTTCTATCACGTGTAAGAGAAAAAGACCGAATAAAAGAGTAGCGAAACAACGATTATTTACATAATGTATACTAAAAATAAACTTGAATCATCGAATACCCAGAAAAAATTCTATTTGGCTGGCTTGCTATAATTTCAATTCAGGATATATCAGGATACCTATCGTGGAAATTGGATACCTATCATGGAGTTCGGAATGGACTCTGATCGGAATTGTTCGATTATTTCGTAGATTTCTATTGCGTTTTCTAGGGGAAACGGAATAATCGATCGATTTTGGGCCTCAACATTTTTGTTCGATTTTCCAAATATTCTTTATGCTGTAGATAGAGGATCGAGTACTGCCATGTCATCTAACACTCGAGTCTTCAGTAACTGATCAACACGAAGACGTAATATATTTATAAAATGACGTAAATTCATAAATCAAAACTATGCCTGTTACAAAATACTACATATTCCTGCTTTACAACACTTTTAGGGAAGCTTTCATTGTATAGGCTATATTCTTTTTACACATTCTCTCTCTCTCCCCCTCTCCCTCTCTATTACAGCATTAAACTGCTCATGATATAAATGCACAATTCATGTAGAAACATGTAACAATTCATTCAGTTTTACTGCGGTATGTTAAGTAACACATTTAAACCCGATGGCAGATACGCCACTTGACGAGACTTGGATAAATTGTACGCGATATCTTCCGCGGCTTCGATTCTTCTAAGCTCGACCAAACCATCCCCTGCCTCGGCTAGAGATGTAGCTAGTAAACTCGCAGCCTGGGCATCACCCTCGGCGCTAATAATAGAAGCCTTCTTCTGCTGTTCGGCCTTCTCTACCAAGAAACGGGCCTTCTCCGCGTCCTGCTGCGCAACCTGTTTCAATTCTACCGCCTGGGTAAACTCTTTACCAAACGTTAAATGCGTCTGGAAGAATTTGAAGAGAAATAATGATAATCTACCTAATCGACTGCAAGAAGACGTCGTAGTATCCTTGTGGACAATACAGTGCATATTTTATCAGTAAAAGCAATTGTACTTACAATAGAAATGTCATCCAAAATAAGTCCAAACTGCGAAGCCCTTTCCATCAAATCTTCGCTGACCTTTTGAGACACGACTTCTCTTTGCGTAATCAATTCACCGGCATCAAATTGCGCGACAACAGCTTTCAACACTTCGGTGGTGATAGAGGGTAGCACCCTTTCGTCGTAATCAACACCGAGTATCGTGTATATCTTGGGCAACGAATCGGGTACAGGCCTGAAGAGGATACGAAGAGTGATATTTACATTCTGCAGATCCTTGCTTCCGGTGATGACAGGAACATTTCTCGGGCGTGAACGGATGTCGAAAATAATTGGCTTCTGAACCCAGGGGATCAAGAAGTGCGTCCCTTCTCCTATCACGGCGTTCTTTATCCCCACAAATCTATCGAATATAACTGCCCTGTGACCACCGTCGACTGAAAACAGATATAAACTAATTAATTAAATTCAATGTAACAAGACAATACGTCGTAAAGTCAAACAACTAACGAGAACGCCTTGTAGGCGTTCGATACATGTAGCCGACACCGTACCATTGTACAATGCAGAGTTGATGACGCCGCCGGTCAGTGCTATGCCCAGGCCGAGTTGACCTATTCGATTGAAAACCTGAGCTGCCATACTCAAACGTTATGCTACCTGCAAGGTGGAAAACAATATTATGTAACATGGGATGATGAAATCTGATGCACTATCATAGTTAGCTCCTAACAATCACGACACCGTTCTAACCTAAAAACTTTGAGGGGAAAATATATTTGGAATACGCGTATCTCCGGCAAGAGAGAAAGAAGCGGCGAGAACAAACTTATCATAGATTTCCCAATTATGACTGTACTTTGTAACGGTATTGTCTTATGTTTCGCAAATGGTGCGGCAACGATGCGGACCTCGACCGGTCAAATCGAGCCTCTCGTCTCGCCGATTTTACATCAGCACTCAATGTTTTAATATCACTCGAACGTATAATTAAGCTAAAATTGACAGCAATCGCTCGCCCTTATAACAAAACAATTGATTCTTACGTAATAAATCGTGACTTCGGGGTTGGAATATTCGGTTGTCGCCTCGCGTGAAGAGCCGATAAGAGGAAATAGAGCCGTGTGATGGCCGTGGTAGTTTGCGTGTAAGGGTGGTGCCGCATGGAGCGTAACTTGCGTAAGCGTAATCTGCCCAATCACGGAACATCTCGACGGAATTACGGAGACGGTTCTAACAGACTGACCCTGCGATTGGTCCTGGAGTCGACGTGCCCGATACGCGCGTGTCGCAATCGCGTCATGGAACGCCACCCGAAGCTGGCGCCATGGCCTTCGATCTATCGCAGCCTCGCGCGGCAATTTTAAATCCCGAACTTGCCTCCAAATATAAAAATTATTTGTATAAACGTACACGCACCGGCATAAATGCTGCCCCTATCCTTGTGAGGTGCACGCACACAACTAGAGTCCCTGTAGTTGGACTCACAAGGATAGGGACAGCGTTTATGCCGGTGCGTGTACAACACGCAATTGCATTATATTACGATAAACGCGCGTACCCTAGTCAGAAATGACTCGAAAACCGACGTCGAAACAATATCGAATCGTTGCATTTTTGGTTGCATTTTCGAGCCAAGTCGAAAATGGAACCAAAGATGCATCGATTCGATATTGTTTCGACGTCGGTTTTCGAGTCATTTCTGACTGGGATCGTATTCCTCCGCGATTGCAATTGCTATCTCGCAAATTATACTGGTGTCTTGCAAAATTTCGATCAACGTTACCTCAGCGCCAATTTTAACCGCATATTACTCGATAAGCTCATTCATTGTTATCGCGGTTCTGCAGACGAGGTTATCGCCCGAAACATCGCGGGAGCATAACATCGTGAATGTCACAGTGCAAAAAAGAACGCCCCCGGGTGAGCTCGAGCCACCAGCCTTTCGGTTAACAGCCGAACGCGCTAGCCAATTGCGCCACGGAGGCAAGTTTAGTCCGGCTTTTTATAATAAAATATATAAAGTGAAACATAAGTGAAATTGTTTGCTTTCAAGTAATTCATAGTTATAATTGATGTTAATAATAATATTAATGATTCACTTAAATCTGATAATAAATGCCAAAGTATTGTCAATGTGTAAAATATGTTGTCGAGCAAGACTTTATACATACAGTACCGGCCAAAATTATGTCAACTTTTGATTTTTTTAGCATAGCTACTATAGTTTTAAAGTACTGTATGTACGATAACGGTTTGATATTGAAAGCTGTCACTTGTCATTTCGCCGTTCCTGAGCGCGCGAAATTTCAGCCCTATCATTTGTGGAAAATAATCGCTTCTAATTTAAAAACTATTATAGCCTCGACACTTTTGTATTAGGATTTTCGTCTGGAAATGTTCTAAGGAATCTGTCATTAAGAGGACCTCCGGTGGTTTTAGGACACCCTGTATATTAACAAAATTTGTAAAAACATTTACTTATTTCTTGCCTATATGGTAGTTTCTTTTAATGAGAATCGCGATAACTTGACGCTACAGTACTTATGAATTGCAGGTCGAAGGGGCAATTCAATTAATAGAAATAAATGGAAAATAAAGGTTTATTGTTTCTCTTTCTACTCCTACACTATCGTCGTGCTATAGTTTATGTAATTGAATAAAAATTGTGTTCTAAGCTTATGATTGTGCAAAACGGTACTCGCTACTCGGTACTCGAACTTAATTTTTATAGGAGAAAATTGTATTTAGTAGATTCAAATTATATTATATAGTTAAAGATTTACACCGGTGTAAATCTTGGGAAGTTTCTCTTTATGCGTGCCGTCCATGTGTCCGCACACGCCGGTCACGTGGCCTTGCAGAGTGGTGTCCATCATCAGGGTCACGCTGCTGGGGGTCCACATCATCATCACCGGCACACGTTGGGACTGAACGACGAGATGTTCGTTGTTCTCGGTGAGTCTGCAAGCGAAAGTTCTATTTCAATACCACCGATTTTCCTCAACCCTGCCGGAAATAATTCTACAAATTTCTACAAAACTATAAAACACAACTGCTAGAATCTAAGACTTTAAAAAGTGATACAAAGTTCAACATAAAAATACTAGAGCTGGAACACTTTTGTTATTTTTTGTAATATTCTACAAGTAAGCAGATGTTTTAATTCTTTAAGATTTTGCCGTTTCTCAAATTTTTACAACCAGCGAAGTTTTGTACCAATTTTTACAGAATTGTACATTTTCATGAAACACTACTTGCAATAATTTCTTGATTTGAGAACACTGTAATTTGTGGTATTACTTCGTAGATAGTTTTACAAAAAAATTAATGTTTCAACGAAGACAGAAAGATTTCTACAAATTTCTATTTCGAGTCAACTTCTGTAGTTATTTATAGAAATGTTTTCCGCCAGGAAAATTCGATTGCTCTATCGATTAATCGTCGAACTCACTTGAACGCGTAAGACTTCGGCTCGTCTTTCGGCACCACGACTCCCTTCTCGTGCTGATTGATTATAGTACCGTCAACGGTAACGATGGCATTGAACTCGTTCGGTATGATCTCCATCTCATGATCGGCAATGTACATCTTCACGGCGAGCTTGGTACCTTGCACGGACTTGACGAAAATGGCATACGTCCGATCGACATGATCGCCAGATACGAGGGTCCATTTATCGAAGACCACGAATGGAATCACGCCCTCGTCTAGGGTGACCAAGGCTTCCGGGTAGATGGTGCAGATCTCTGCGAGGGGCAGGTTCAACGAAATTAAACTGTCACTTGAATTCTTTATGGATAAACGACTTACAACTAATTTTCAACGAAGAATTATGCGAATTTTGTCAACGTTGAAAATTTCCGAGTATTATGGCGTTAAAAAAATTTCTCCGATAATAACTTACTAGCTTGGTCCTGCGTCATTTTGTACAAAGCACCTACGGAGAAGCGAGTACTGTCCATGGTAGGGTGCCATTGTGGAGACGGCGTCGGTCTGTGGACGATCATGCCCTCGAAGAGATGTTGCCGTAAAGGAATTTGGATGTACTCGTATCCGTTAACCGGAGTGATGACGGTCGCGTTGACGTGGCTCAGATCGGAGGAGTACTCGACTATGATCTTCGCGTTACCGCTCTCCACGCGGTCCATGATGTATCTCACGTGCGGCAAATGCGATGCGCGAATACGATCTTCGATCATGGCGAAATACGAGGATACCTGTACAGGCACCTGAAAGAACGATACTTCTCTATTTATATCTGATGATATTAATATTTCAATCTTTTTCGTGCTTTCAGCGAGAAATGATTCGTCGATCGATGTCGAATCGACATCGACTCCGTCAAATTGACGTCGATCGATCGACGAGTCATTTCTCGCTGGGTTTGTACTATTTCTATATTTGCAAGTATACAAAAAATTATTTCCACGTCCAATAAGACTAGACAATAGAAAGGTGCATAAAACAGATGTAAGAAAAATTGGAAAACTGCTTTTAAAAATTAGAGGACCAATTCAACGTCGTACTTTCGTGTGTTCTTCGTGTACTTTTATATTTTGAAATTATATCAAATTGTTAGAACGAAATTATGTTACGAGTAATGCATTTATCTTTTCTTACCTTTTTGTACGTTGCGTTAACGGTGTACTTCTTCATGGTCGTATATTGTATGGTTTCACGGACGCAATTCATGGTTTTGGCAGCGTGTCCCTGCTTGGTCAGGAATTGCGGGTTTTGGGTATCTCTAATGCACGCGCCGTACACGTTGTCGTGCATCATTTGCCTCTTCTGTTCTTCTGTTATCTCGCCTTTGATAGTCATCGCGATCGTCATCTCGTCGCGGACGCATTTATCCTCATCCGTAAATCCTGCTGTGACGGTCATCTTGTTAGTAGTTTCCTCTTTAGTGGTGTCGACCTTCAGGGGATCCGTTTCGACGACTGGGTAATTCTTCTGAGCGTCTACGCAAATCTAGAAGTAGAAGCCAGAAAAAAACGCACGTCTCATAATCAATAATATTATTTCAATCTTGTTGAACTTCTTATTTAATTGTAATTTGACTCAAACTGTTTGGATTCATTAATTAAGATAATTAAATTAAGATAAGTTGGACGTACCTTCAAATTCTTCTCTCCAGGAGTCTCTCTCGTCATCTGAACTTTGAAATTGTTGACCACGTGTCCCGGAGTCATGTCAATGTTCATGTTCACGTCCCACGTGCGGACGGACTCGTTTGTGGAAGCAGCTTTGGCGTCGAGGGTACCGCGTACGTTGATCTTGTGGCTGCTAAGAGCGTGCATCTTTTCATGAATGTGATCGACATCTTCCATATTGACTCTTATATTCAAATCGACCTGGAAAAGAAGAAAGTAAGGGGAATAAGAATGGTAAAATTAGAGAAAGACCCCCGATTATGAAATAGGCTCCTAATATGAGACAACGCAGTTTCTGCGAAATTAATAGACAACATCTGTTGGTCCCACCGTGAATTTATCGCCCCTAGAGTGCCGTTTAGTGGAAAATTGATTATTAGATCGTGTAATCATTGCGGAAAAAGATTTGTGATTGAATTTGGACGTTGAAAACCTACTGTCTCATATTAGAATCCTATCTCATAATTGAGAACTTTCCTCTACTTCTCTTTTTCAGATCGAGATTTTTCACTACTCACATGCGACGTAGGATAAACAATGCTGGGTTCAATTTTCATGAGCTTTCCACAGTTACCCATTTGCGGTGATATGTAGTCGTTAATCAGTTTTTGGCGGATACCCATAATGTATCGGAGGATCTTCGAGTTCCTAGTGAACAAATAGTAACATGATCATTTCTTTTTCAGACCCTTGCATCGATATAGAAACAGATCTCTACTGTCTAAAGCTTTTAGAGTGAAAATACTGCCATTGAGTGAAGTATTCACTGAAACGATGAGTGAATATTTATTCCAATAGAGTGAATATTTCACCTCATGGCAGTATTTCACTTGAAACATTTTAGAGAGTAAGAAACTTGCGTTTCTTCTTGCGATACAGAAGAAAGACTGTAATGATAAATATCGATGTTCGAGCTTATTGCATTTTAGTCTATTACTTGCCAAGTATTCTTGTGTTCCGTGGAGAGCACACGGTGCCATTCCTCAGCGTTAGTCACCGGGGTCACTTCGTTTTCGCAATCGAAGATCGACGTGCTATACTTGAGACCCAGGTCTTTAGAATCTACGGTGACATGATGGTGTTTCTTCTCGCCGGTGGTAACGACAGTGTGGTGATGGCAGGTAGCGCAGCAGGTCTTGAGAATGTCCTGCTCGTCCTCGGTAATGGTCACCAAGTTCTTGGCGTAGAATCGTATTCCGGTGATCGACAGTTTGTTGACCGGCAGTCTCGGCATGGTGATCTTGAGACTCTTCGCCTCGTGATTGTAACCGATGCTCATCTGCACGGGCATAGCGACGTCCTGGACAGTGGCGCGGCGAATCGAATGCCAAACGTCGACGATCGGATTGTAGACCGACATGGCATACTCGCCATGCCTCCACACGCGAGCGTCAACGTCGAGCTTCATGTTCACGGACGGCATCTTGACCTCGGTGCGAACGTTGTTGAACTTGAGCGACCACAGCTGAGGCATTCTGGTACTGAGGACCGCCTGTAGACCAATGTCGGTGGGCACCTGCATCTCGTAAAGGGTGTCGTATGTAATCTCTTGGAAATTGCCGACCATCGTTTGCTTCAGCTGGTATATGTCGTCAAACATGTTCTTGAACGTGTTTTGGTCATAGTGGTTGACAACGGCGACGACACCGTTCAACGTGATGCAGATGTCGATGTGAACAGGTCTCCTCATCGGCATGTCCTGCGCGGCGCGAATCAAGATGTTCTGCACATTTTTGTTAGTCAGGTTCTCCACCGTAGTGCCGATCAACTCCTTCTTGATCACCTTCATGATCTCATCCAGACCGTAGGCGCTCCAGTAGATCTGAGGAAAATTTATGTAAAGCTAATACTAGCACATTGCATTTTTATATTCTACAGAAGCGTAAAGGTAACAAATCGGTGAAACTATAAATGTTTCTAAACAATAAAATTCATAAGGCTCTGACGTGAAATCACAATTCGAAGGAATAAAGAATATAAGAGCCAAAACAGGATGTTGTGTCCAAGTGATTTTAATTTTTAGATTGATTGCGAAAAATTTACCTCAGCCAAGGTTTGAACCTGGACCCCCCTCACACTAGACGGGCGTCTCTCACGAGGTTCAAGGTTCACACCCTGGCTGAGATTAATTTTTCGCGATAAATTAAAAACTTAAATCATTTAGACACTAACATCCTGTCTTGGCTCTTATATCTTTTATTTCTTTGAACAAATGTTTCTCTTAGATACTTTCGCGAGACGTGTCAACATTGTCGCAAAGTTCACCAAGTTGGAAATATTACTCACGCCCATTTTGTCGACGGGTTTACGAGCGACCGAGGTGTGATACTCCAAGTATCCGGCGCGTGGCATACCAGTCGATTCGTCGAGGAGCCAGGCGTTGTTCCAGGATTCGCTGTATTCGTACATGGGATCAGTATAATCGGTGAATTGTTTGGACGACAGCTGCGTGGTGAGCGGTCTGATCTTCGTGAAGCGCAAGATCTTCCTGGCCATTTCGCGAATTGGCGTGAGGCAAGGATCCACGGAATTAGCGAGACCTTTCAGGGTAGTAATGTGATAGTTGTACAGATGGTCGTTCCGCTCGTATATCATGAGCCAGTAGATGTTCATGATACGTTGCATGTTCGGCATCTGGCTCATCAGTACGTCATAGGCGACAATCCTGGTGGACAGCGGTTGATTGACATCAGCGAAAATAGGCCAGAGCAGATTGTGAGTGTACTCGATTTTATCCGCGACTGCCTTCTCGATGGCCCAGATCGCTTGAACGCGAATGTGATGTGGATTCTCGGATATCGTGAGTTCGCCGCGGATGATCGGCTCCAGGAGCTTCTCGATGTTACCCACTTGCACGTTCTTGATCGCCATCAGATACACCATTCTCATTTCGTATGATTGCTCGTCTGAAATATTTTCGAGAAGGATTACGTGATGCGTACACATTGTTAAAAATGATAAAATTAATATAACGCAATGCTTACTCTTTACATGATCGAGGAACCGGTGAAGATATCTCTCGAGAAGAGGGTTGACGATGTCGCTGCGCTGATGTATGAACGTCTTGCGAATCAAAATGGAGAAGCAGAGGATGCTGGCCTTCCTGACTTGCGGTGACACGGTGCTACCCAATTTCAACAGATCCTCCATTTCGAGAAGCAATCTCTCGGACGGTACTTTGACGTGCATCGGCAATTTCACCAACATCGCGATGGCAGTTTCATCGGTCACTTTGTGCTTGCGAACGACATTTCGTACGAAGTGGCTGGCAGCGGTTGTGCCCACGGTTGGAATCATCCGCAGGAAGATATTCCTTTAAAGTCACGGTCATGGTTGTATTAGGTGTGTCGCAAAATTATAGGTATTAGATTTCTTCAAAGCAATAACAAATTATTTCTTGATCCTCTGACGCTGACTTTCTTACAACACAAGTCAAGAAATGATTGCATATTACTCACCTCATTGTGACTTCCTTAGGTATCTTCGAATCCTGAATGGCGTTGTAAATTTGTTCCAGTGAGGCCAGATCCATGTAACTCATAGTGTGCTGCAGCCTATTGATGGTTTGCCCGTGCTTCCATTCGGGTTCCTTGGCCTCCATATGATTTTCCTCGAGGTAATCAGCAGCCTCGACCAACATCTTTTTAAGTTTAGGGATGAGCGCGTCCAATTTCACAATATGTCGACCATGAGTGAGATCTTCGGCAGCATGGAGAGCGTAATTTCCCAGTGGCTTGTTGAAAGTGATATCGCGAATGATAGGCACGTTTTGAACATTCACGGCCAATACAGGGACTTCCATCGTTGGCACTACGGAATGCAGGTCCAAAGTAGTGCTGAAATAACAAATGAAATTAGCGTGATCGCCGGTGCAACTGGCGCAATAATTATCGTATAATTACTTGGTCCAGATATAGTGAGCCTCAGATCGGCTGTTGTAAGGGAAGTAGTTGATAGTCGAGTGAGCAACCAGCCGCTGGATGAGAATGTCATTGCCCTGTTGTTTGATCTCGAAGACTCTTCTGGCGGAAGAAGTCATGTCATCCTGAATTTTAAAACAAAAGTCGATCAATTACAATCTAATTCAGTCAGAATAAACGTTTGATCGATGAACAAAATTCTCGCAACACAATAATAGAAATTTACCACGGACTCCACGTGACACTTCTCGCACTCGACATGATCGAAGACACGCTGGACGAAGTGGCTGCAGTTCTGCAAATTGTGCATCTTCGTGACCACAAAGACAGTGTTCTCCGGGCTCATCGGACTCATCGGATGAACATCGTAGGCGACTTGGCAGATACCGTGGATGGTGTTCTAGTGGTAACAACCAAAGAGAACATTTTGAAACAGACCCGCTTTTGCTGGATGTTCCCATCAGTCGTTACCTACCTCATGGGTGATGAAACCGTGCGGCTTCATCGGGGTTTGCATCTGGATGTGGGCCAGATCTAGTTGCAGCATCGAGGCGATACCTTGCTTGATGTTCCTGGACCAACCGCTCTCGGTTTCCGGCATTTTGATGCCTTGGAACTGAAATTGAACATTCAACAGATGGAGTTTTCCCACGAACGATTTTATGTCACATTCTCACGTTACAAATTTGGACAGTTTTACCTTGCCACGCTCGTCGTAAACGATCACGAACGGTTCCTGGATTTGCTGTGCGGCTTCTCCGAGTTCGTGGAGGACGTCGACCGGTTGGTGATGTACATTCACCATGCCATTGTACATGCCGTACCTTACGTTGTTTAATTTGATGTAATATGCATTATTTAAAGTCGGATCGCTGGTATCCTTCGTTATGTGAAGTTGCCCGGCGAGAGCGAACTGGGAAGCATATTGCACTGGCTCAATAATCCCGGTCTTCACGTCGGCATAGTAATTGTAAATCACTGTTTTCTCAGCAGAAAAGTGCACTGAAATATTATACCAATATGAAATATTACAAATTAACTTGTTTACCAGGAGTTTATACCTCAATGTAATCTGATCTGTACTATTTATTTCTTAGTCGAAGCAAATAGCATTGAATCGATTATCAAATATAACGAAATCAATCTGCGATTTTAAGAAAGATGTCATAATAATTTTACATTTAATAAATCAATAATGTGCATTGAACTATAACTTGTTATCATGTTTAGAAAATTATCTGTAATCCACGAATTAATACAAAGATAAATGCATTTTCCCGAAAAAAATTATCTTAATAATGTAACGTTATTAATTATTGAAAATATAAATACAATTTGTTCATATTAATTTGTAGGCAAACGTTTTTCTCTAGTATTCTGTAAAGTAGGAAAATAGAGAAGGAAAATTACCTGGCACCGCATACGCGGCCGCTAGGCACAGCAGCAATACTGAAAAACATAATTTACATTACGTATATCGTGGTATAATATGTATTATGTGCATTATAAATACTTAAATATGTCCGAGCAGAGAAGAATTGTGAGAAAATATGAAATCTGAATCAATATATTTATTAAATAATTATCAAACTTTAATATACATTTAAAAGAGCTGTACGAAAATACAAATAGCTTCTTTAGATACTTTTCTGTAGAAATTCACAAGTCGCCAAAGATGTTTTTTTTTCTTCAGAACGTTTCTAAAAATATAAAAATGAAAAGAACAGAATGCCCCGCGATTTGAGAAATCTTGAACAGATGACAATACATCGGACCAATGTAAAGCTGGACAAGACACCTGTGTTTCTCACAATTATGCACATTGCACTTGCATAAGAAAGAAGAAGAAAAACGAATTTCGTCGAGGCGTAACTCGCGAGACCGATTCAAAAGCGCGAAGACACTCCTTTGCATTCGATGGCGAACGACTTACCAGTAAGGGCATTCATCATAGCGTGGCCCCTGATGTAAGACTGGTGGCGTACGCGAGATCCTCCCGCTTTTATAGGGCGCGAAATTCTCGAATTGCCGGTAAAATGCAGAAATGCGGGCGAGCCGATAACCCCACGACGAAAGGGTGTTTCACGTTACGGTGAGAAAGAGAAAGAGGATTGTGTCAGCAATCGAGGAGATAACCCTTTCGGGGTTCATCAAGCCCCACTGCAACTGTTAACATTAAAAACGCACGTATGTATATTAAAAATAATTCGCATGTCAGAGCGATCGTGATTGGCCCCGGCACTTTTTCACCGTCAGCCGCTTCTTCACCGGGAAAAACTCTTGTTCCTCTCCCTCTCTCTTTCTGTTTCTGTCCGTCTGTCTAAATTATACATGCACATTGCGTTTTTATCTTTTTGTATACCACGTATCACATGTAATTGCACCACTACAACCAGAAAAGGCGACTGTCGAATATTTCTGAGACACTGCTGCAGTCGGTGTCTTGACGACTTGAGCAGTAATAAGTCTGTAAATCGAAGGCGGAGCGTTGCAAAGAATATTGATTTTGTAAGAAGCCGAATTTGCGAAGACAATGAGAAAAATGTTAGAAGAAATATCGGCTGCACGATAGAAAGATCTTTGTCAAAGAATACGAGCTGACTGTGCTTCCTGCATAATCTGTTAAAAATGTGACTCACTAGTAAAAGAATAGCGTTGCAATTTTATTTTAAATGTGAGAAACAAAACTGACGTCATTAGTAAAAGTTATAGGAAGATTAGATAGTACGTTCATTGCGAGAGAGGCTAATTTATATTCTTTTTCAATTGTTAAGACCCACTAATTGTAAGACAAACAGTTTACCAAAAATGTCCATCTGCATACTGAAGTAATTAAAATACATACAGCGATGGGTCTATTGGTCTTAACATTGTAACTAAATTGTTACTGTCTTCTTGAAGAAGCCGTTGTTCTATGGTGTAAATTGATCTAATTCATACACTTCTTTGAACTTTTTTCCTCGACATTGTTTCATGCCATCTAAGTTTTGTTTTCTGTTCCTGTACTGGTAAACTATAAGTGCAGTAAGGTAAAATAAAAAAATATATACTTGTCTTACTCAAATTTATTGCGCTAGTTCATCAGCGCAGGGACAGAAAACAAACTTATAAATAGTTAGGCTAGGTTAACGTTGATCTCACTTTCTCCTTTCGATAAGGTAACATCGGAGATTTTAACATAAAATTTCATTAAAATTTTAATAGCTTCTTGTAACATCAACAATTTATTGTTCATTTTTAATCTTTGCCCCAAAATTCTCAGACACTTCAAAGACACAGATCAATAATTACGCATACGCATGATTTTAGCGTGCTCTATGTACATATAATACGGTAAAATGACCAAAATTGCGTCATAGGAATCAAAACTAATTGTTGTAGTAATATAATTTCAAATAAAATTTGTTCAATACTGTCGCAGTGATGTTTATTTCAACATTTTAAGTAGTATACTTGAATAAAATTAACAAATATTACTGTTTTGGTGCAATAATTTTTTCAAATTGTGTTTTTTTACAAAGAAATGTTAAAAAATATTTAGAAATATTGTTTTTTTTTACAAGAAAATATTATGAAATATTCCTGGAACGCGTTATTTTCGAGCCTTTCACGCACTGTGTGCACGAAGATATGCGTGATAGAAAAATGCGGAAGAACGCCGATTGCCTGTATAAATGACGCAGCATCCTGTGTCCCGCTGATTCCCGTATTGTATGATTTCACCCTTAGTTCGTTCTGTTACTGAACGAACTCATAGACATAGTACATATGTATAGACTGCGTGTTCTCTACCTGATTCGCATGTTGGCTCGTAACTTCATCTTGTTTTGCTGTGTGGGGAGTAATTTGCTCGTTTCCTCGTTTATCAATCAATCGAAGTTGAAGTTTGTTTTATTACTTAATGCGTTTAGCGTTGCAGCAATCATTTTTTAACTGTTGTTTCTGCATTAATTATGATAAACACGAGTAATTATAGTCGCAAAGTTAAATAAACCATTTTTTCCATTAATCGCATAAATAATCATCGACAGTTTGATAAAGTGAAGAAAACCAAAAACGATTGCGTGCATGTTTACCAGTCTTTACGTAACAACAACACACCACAACGTGCATAAAATACATTTATCTATAGTCTCGCTGTTATACATACTGAGTGTCTTCGAACAACCTGTCCTTTTATTGATAGATTCTTTGGACTCGATTTTCCTAAACAAAAATGTCAACGAAAGTCATTATCTCCGGTCTTTTGCATCATATGCATTTGTAATTACATTTCAAATTAAAATGGTCTCGAAGCAAACTTTACCTGATATTAGCTTTTATTTCGCAAAATGTACTCTTTATATAATCCCTTATAACTTGATTAATACGTTGATATTTTTGCTGAAAAATAAATTTTAAACTGATCAAAGAGTCTGTCATTAAATAAACATCCGATATACACAGCTTTGAGATTGCTTGTATTATTACTTACCTTTATCGGCAATTTTGAATTGATCAAGTGGTTGGTTTTATTAAACAATAATTACAGACATTAAGCCAAAAGATTATTTTATTTCGAACATTATGTTAAAGAACCTAGCAGCATTTTCCTTTTACTAAATTCAAATATATTTTTAGCTCCTCTATACCAAGTAGAATTTTCAAGTGCATTATATAAAAATCTACACATATATAATACACAGTATATTTCTCTATTAATTCTGAATACAGTATGTACAGTGTGTACAGAATTAATTTTCTTCTGGGTATTTTTTATCTTGGATCTCGAATGTTGAATAATTGGCATATTTGAATTCTATTTGCATTGGTGCCATCTCATAGTAAATAGTTTTAATTAGTTTAATTTTTTCAACAAAACAAGATACCGTCATCTTGAAAAATAAGCAGCAATTTCTAGTGACAGAAGTTGCTAGTGTCATTTGTGAAGACGTTAACAATCAAAAGCACATAAAGGGATCTATTAATTGGCATTCCAGATAATTACATTGCATTACGTTATTTCTTTAATCTTGTGTACTCGTATCACTGATTATATTTTAAATAGCATTTATTTCAGTGCCACTCACACAACGTACGTAATCGCGTTATTGGTAAATAAAGCAACTGAAAATCAGCGGTGGTGATGCTTCGTGGTTATTACTGTACATGATTTACTGTTCTAATTATGAGTGCTTGCGTACGAGAGGTATCGGTTTACACGATTAACAATATCAACCACCGGACGATTAAAATGGTTTCATATTTCAATTTGTTGCGTCACGTAAGATCTGCAAGGTGGAAGTCGTTGATTAACACGTCGCGTGATCTATCGAAATTAAAATTATCAGATTCTCGGTCGTGAGCTGTCGCGGTAGCTTCAAGGTTGCCAGCAAGTGGTTCCATATGCTGCCCCACGGCTATCGCTGTGACAAGACATCGAAATGCGTTGTTTTCGGCGAGGAATCACCTTTGATAAATTGAACGGATATCGAACGTTAACATTATAGGTCACAGCGTAAATTACAAAGTGAAGACAAAACAACGCGTACTCTCCAGAATTAAGAAAAATTTTAATATACGCATTAATATGCGAATTATGTTGATTGTAAACCGGATTTTGTGAGACTAACGTAAATATCTGTAAAAGGCTTCTACGATTAATTGATGCAGGATTGTTGTAAAAGAGGAGCTGATTTTTCGAAAGTATGTTATCGATAAGTGCGAGGACGGGAAAGTATTTTCACGATTCGAAGAGGGAAGATTTAAGCAGGACAACGTGGATCATGAGAGGAATAGTAATTTTCAGAGTTGTGCGGTAAAATTTAAGATCACATCTATATGAATTGTTCACGTAATGTTTACGCGAATTGTTTTTCATGTAACAGTTTCAAGAAATATAAAAAATGTTAATTATTATAAAATAACCGATTGATCAATTGGTTTTTCAACTGTATTTTCACAGTCCTAAAAAAGTTGTAAGTTAAATTACACGTATTTCAGTTATCATTTTTTTTAATTAACTACAGTTGTACAGTAAAAAATATAATACTAATATAGGAATAGTATTTTACTGATCTGATCTGTTAACGCTTTGTGACGTGTTAAAAAGTTAATTGAGTTCAAACCAAATAATGGCAACTGAAAATAAAATTGTCAACAAAACACAAATTTTCGATATTTCTCACGAAATATGATTCAGTGACTCACGAATTTATACCATTCATTCGTTTACAATTCAGAGCTGTCCACGATTTTCACTTTGCCGTACTTGAAGCTGAGCCTCGCGCGCTTGGTTACGGTTGTCAAATGATTCAAGTATGGGGCAATAGGCAGTTACTCGCGAAAATCGTGATACCTTAAATGTAGTTTAAATTGTATTTTACATGTAAACGCAATAAAAAGTTAAATATTCTCATTTTTTCTCAAAAAATCTTTCAGCTTTTCTATCGCCTTGCTGCGATGAGAGATCTTGTTCTTCTCTTCCTTCGGCAGTTCCGCGTAGGTCTTGTCGTAGTTCATCGGTTGGAAACAAGGGTCCCAGCCGAAGTCCCTGGAACCTCGCGGACTCACAATGGTACCCTGAGTCCGGCCTTGGAACAGGTGGACCTCGGCGCCTTCGCCGGAGCAGTAACCGAACGTGCAAATCGCTTCCGCCGATTTGTCCTCAAATCCGTGGAGCATTCTGTGAAGACCCTCGGGGCCCAGTTTCTCGAGGAACCACTTAATGTAAGGTCCCGGCAGGCCTTTCAGAGCATTAAAGCAGAGGCAGGTATCTTCGATGATCACCGGACCCTTCACTAGATTCGCTGCAGCCCGACACTTGTCTCGACATATATCGTCCACCTCGCCTTGATACTCAGGCAGATCGATCTTCTTATTCGTTATACATCGAGAAAACTCTTTCCCCAAAATGGCGATAAACTCCTCCAGCTTCTTCGCATTGCCCGTCACGAACACTATGGGCAGCGACATTCTGCAACATAAGCAGACGTGCTAAATATCGCATATATTATTTTATTGTAACTGAAATGTTTTTTATTAATATCGCGTTGTTGAAAAAAAAACCTTTTTATACTAGCATTAACGTCGATACAGACATAATATGTTGCAAAATTATAAAATTGGATTTCTCTGACTTTGGTAAATTAGAAATATTAATCAAAGATTTAGTTAAATGTCTAAAGAACATTTTCATGTTGTTTGCTAATTTAATTTGATTATAGATTGGATCTCCATATCGTTAACTTTTCCCGCGTGTTTTTTCATCTAACAGGTTGGCAGCTTTTACACTGAACTTGTCTAGTAACGACACACGTTATGCACCAGAGAGGCTCCTCTCTGCTGTTATGCATCTCGTGGAATATAAGGACGGAGCGTGCTTTCCCGAACGAGGAGAGTGAAGGTGTTAAGGGGTGAGGGAGGCATCTGCATGACGTAATTAAAATAATAAACCACTTCTGTGAAACAGCGTTCAATGTGGGAAAGGAAGTTCTTACCTTCTCGATTGAATTACTTTGCTGCTTTAACCAGCTAAACCACTGTGGCCAACGCGCGCGGTGTTCTTTTCGAACAAGCTAGCCAACTTCAGTCGACTGAAAGTCGTCCCGCATTTGTCCTCGTTTATCGATCAAACAGCGGGGGCAAAGCCAGAGCGGCAAGGGGAAAAGTAGTCGTTGCATATGACGGCGACGTTCGTGTAAACAGCGCGAATTAGAACTTTTTTAATTAGAATATCTGTAATTCAACAATTAAGAGGTAAAATAAATACAAAAATTCAGTGTCATACAATTCATAATAATAAAATAATATAATAAATATAGAACAATAAAAATTAATGTCAATTTTGTACAGTATGCAAAATCCATTTACGTAAAATGGTAATATGTACAGTCGGGAGCACTGAGGTTGCGACACTTTTTTTTTTATAAGTTTACGAACGCGCAAAATAATTCAGGATCTGAATTATTTTGCGCGTTCGTAAACTTATAAAAAAAAAAGTGTCGCAACCTCAGTACTCCCGACTGTACATAAACAAAATGAATATTTATGTAGGTGTAAACTTTTGGAGAAATACATTACTGTGAAGGTAGATTCGTTATTTCGTTCGAAACAAAGCGAAGGTAAATAAAAAATATATCGAACAAAGATAGAAGACGCTTTTAGCGCTAAAAGCGTGCTCCCCGAACGCACCGTTTATCCACCTAACAAGACATGGCGAAACCCTTGCCTCACTTTTACAGCTCGAAGGTAGGCAGTCTAGTAGTTTGTGCACACGACATGCCGTTCTTGTTGCCTTCGAATGACCGCGATCGGTGGCGGCGGCGGCGGCTAGCCGCTAGGGTAGTGTTAGTAGTGTAGCGGTGTATGTCGTTTCGATCTTATCCAAAAATGCCGAGTCAAGAAGTCATGACGACGAAAGTTGTGGTCCACCCGCTTGTGCTGTTGAGCGTGGTGGACCACTTTAATCGCATGGGAAAAATCGGAAACCAAAAGAGAGTGGTCGGCGTGCTCCTGGGCTGCTGGAGGGCCAAGGGGATCCTGGACGTGTCGAACAGCTTTGCAGGTTAGGACACGCGCGACCGCGCTGCGACGTTTTACGCTGGAGCGGCTTGCGTTTCGCTGGTCGAGCCCAGCTCTGCTTTCCTTAACGCCCGAGGAACGACGTGTCCTCACCTCCGGAGCCGCGCGCGACGTAAAGAGATAAATGAGAACTTGTGTTTCAGTGCCCTTCGACGAGGATGACAAGGACAAAAGTGTATGGTTCCTCGACCACGATTACCTTGAAAATATGTACGGAATGTTCAAGAAAGTTAACGGTAAAGACCTACGAATAGTTTGCGCGGAGTCCTGTTTTACTCGGAGCAAGAGAATTCTGATTGCGACGTTGTATGTTTGTAGCTCGTGAGAAGGTAGTGGGTTGGTACCACACTGGACCTAAGCTGCACCAGAATGACGTTGCCATCAACGAACTGATAAGAAGATACTGCCCTAACTCGGTCTTGGTCATTATCGACGCGAAGCCCAAGGATCTCGGACTTCCCACCGAGGCGTATCAAGCAGTTGAAGAAGTGCACGACGTACGTTTACAGTCTATTTAAAAAAAAGAGGGCATTAAACATGTAACGAGAATTTTATTCACAGGATGGTTCACCTACCTCCAAAACCTTCGAGCACATTCCAAGCGAAATTGGAGCCGAAGAAGCGGAAGAGGTTGGAGTAGAGCACTTATTGCGGGACATCAAGGATACTACAGTTGGTACCCTCAGTCAAAGAATCACAAATCAACTGCTTGGCTTAAAAGGTCTTCACGAACAAATTCGGGAAATTAGAGATTATCTGCTTCAGGTATTGACCTTTGAAATCTGAAACTGCCTTTGTATTAATATCGCCGAGAGAAAGGGTGTGTTAAATAAGTACTTTTTGTAGGTTGGCAATGGGAAATTACCTATAAATCATCAAATTGTTTACCAGCTTCAGGACATCTTTAATTTATTACCGGACATGACTCAAAGTAGCTTCGTCGATTCGTTATATGTAAAGACTAATGATCAGATGCTGGTTGTATATCTAGCAGCGTTAGTTAGGTCCATAGTGGCGTTGCACAATTTAATTAACAATAAACTGACCAATCGTGACGCTGAGAAAAAAGAAACGGACGGCAAGAAGGATACAAAGAAGGAAGAAAAGAAGGAGGAGGAGAAGAAGGGGGAGGAGAAGGCGAAAGCTAAAAGTCAGTGATCGGAGCATTTCTGAGCTTGCTCAGCTGCGAGATTGAGACTGTTAAAGTTGAGGACAATTAATGACTCTGTGTGTAATAGTCAAGCCTGTTCACTATTTGTACAGAATTATATCCCCACTTATAAATAATGACAGTTTATATATGTATTAGAAACGGCAAATTGATTCCCAAAACTGTTCTGGTATAATTCTGTGAGTTTTTAATACGTTAGGCGCAAGAGAAACAAAATCAATGCTAACTCAACACTTCTGTATTTTGAATGTAATGAATGATGTAGTAAATATATCGGAAAAAATTTAGGATCTAAGACATTTTTTACGGAATATTGTAATCGTTACAATATTTTCAATGTTTTAATTAACAATCCGTTAATACAAACGATAGTGTTCTACACATAACGAGGCACGATTATTTATTTTCTCTTGAGTTCATTCATTACTCAGCTAGTAACATACGATCGGTGTGTTCTTTTAAATTGCTTCAAAGAGCGTCTCTTACAATCTAAGTTTCAATTAATATGTGTGATAGATATGAATAATGTATTTTTTAGAAAATACAAGTCATTCTACTAAGAGAAAATATTACATAAATAAAATAATCTTTTATTTATACCGTTTTATTAATTTATCATCGATATAGAAATGCTTTCCTAGATATACTTTACTAACAAGAATATACAAAAATGCAGGTATACGTATTTGTACGCGTGATCTTCGTACATGTACAAGTTTTGTACGTGTTTCGGGATATATGCATATAGATATGTAAATTTTTAATCATATACATTGCCTGATCGATTGTACATGTATTTGTGGCTTGAAGCATCCACCATGATATTTATTAACAAATATTACAGTGTATTTTATCTCACGTGATTCAGCGATCAATCTATTTAGAAAAGTTGGCTGCAAACTCAAAATTCTTTTTATATCAGAATACTGAAGACGAGCAAGAGAAACCATCGGTAGGCGTCGATTTTTGCGGCACCGCTGTAAGCTATGCCCACGTAAGGCTCCAAATTCGTATCGTTATAATGCTGGAAGTACCAATTGAATGGACTGTTGTCCACCACCTTGGCTTCGTCGTCGACGACGAACTCCCCGTTCTGATTTTCGGTCGTCGTCTCGTAAACTAGCTCGCTTTTTTGAACAGCGCCGGCAATCGACTTCTGCTTCTCCCTGGATTGCTCCGCATTGTAGCCGACGTACGGCGAGGCGACTTTAGTTATCGTCGATCTGCCAAGAGGACGTAAATTTACCACGGACCCTGTAGACGGTACTTGTCCCCCCGGGACCAGAAGCGCGGACAAAGCGGACGCCTCCGTCCCTCGAGCAGTCATAGTCGTGGTTTCTCTGGGCCGCGGATTCGATGTGGAAGACGTTGCGGGTGTTGAAAAGCGCGGGATCGGTTCCGCGTCCATTTTTGTCACGATATCCGAATTGTCTGCAATAAATGGAAGATTTTTGTCAGATGTTTTACGAACCACGATACGAACGAGTTAACTTCTTTGTCAAGTTAAACTTTAATAGCAAATTAATAAGGAAATCGATTAATCCAAAACAGATTTTACTGCAACGGAAACTTGGTTGCGATCGCGTGTGAGAATGAAAAGATGTTAAGTTACAATCGAGGGGTAAACCGCTGAGGGCATTGTGGTACAGATTTGCGGCACTATTGGGCATTACTAGATATTTTTGGGACATTAGTTTGGGCATTAGGCCTTGTTGGAGCATTATAAAGATACAATAAGATAATATAAGATAAAGTATTGCCCACTTATTAGGGGCATTAGTAGGCATTGGTGTATATGATTTTGGTCAGCAGTTTACCCCTCAGTTACGATGAAATGTGTAGAATGCAATTCGAACAGTTTCAACTTTTATTAATTGAGGTGTAAGCTCACCAGGTTTGTCGCGAGAGTCAACTGTACTGCTTGAAAGGATTGGATCCTTTTCATATTCAGGTGTTTCCAAGTCCCAGTCCTTAGACCCACTTTCTTTCGGCGGTATTACGTCCACCGCTGCAGTCACAATTTCCTTTGTAATCGTGGCTTTCCTCGTTTCCGCCGTTACCGCCCTTGGTGTGGTCCAAACTATCCCGTTGGCTACTTCCATCTGCGGCTTCTCTATGAATTCAGTGTCCTCCGTATTTACTTCTAAACTCTCCCCGTCGTAAATCTCGGTGGACACCGACGTTTCGTGAGCTTCTTGCGATGAATCCTCCTCCACGATTATTGACGCGCTATTTTTCACTGTGTTCGATGCGTTAAGGCTAAGCAGAAAAGCAACGCTGAAAGATTAGCTGAAAGCAACTATAATAGCACTGCATTTGAGGCAATTTAAAATTCAATTTTAACTCAAAGTGCTTCTGCGAGCAATCAATCCATAGCCCCTTATCCCAGTGAACACCAAGTAATAGTTGCATAATATCAATTATAATTTCCTACTCAACAAGATAAATGTAATATAACATGGGTATTATGTAACTGGTACGTAGTGTTTACTGGAATGTTAAAAAATACAGCTTTAACATTTTCTCTTTATTTTATTTCGTCGGCGAGACCGAGTCTGAAATTTCGCGTACTGATGGACAAAATTTGCAACTACAACATACTTGAATTTCATTTTTTCTACTTTTGGTCGGTTTATGCAGGAGCCACCTTAAATAATTAAAGTCAAGAAAAAAAATTTTTTTTTCAAACTAAATTACCTTGAGAATTAATTGAAAAGGAATCTTGTTTTAATTGACTGAAGAATCTGAAGGATATCCTATCTCGAGTTGTTTGTTTTAAATTTTAAAATTGAAGAAGTCAAGAAAAAAAAGGATAATCTTGACATTTACCTGGTTCTACTGGCGTTGGGCAAAATCTTGCGAGATTCAAAACCAGTCGATCGAACGAATGTCGACGCAGTGGATGATTCTCCCCTTTCTCGGAAGCTCGTTCGCGGTTTCCCGGTCCTGGAGATAATTTTCTCCACCTTGGTCACGGTACTATTTCCGCTCTTCCGAGGACGTTCCTCCGGTGCCGGTGTACTGCTCACATTCAACGATCTCGAAATGTTCTCGTTTTTCGTGTGTTTCTCATACGTCAATCTGGGATCGGCGATCGGCACGAATCCACTTTGGCCGCGCGGCAGAGGCACGAAGCCACCCCTGTGGATTTCCGGTTCCGTGGGCGGAAAAGACCTGTACCGTCCTCGGCCGGGTCTGTCCGATGATGACTCCTTCCTCTCCGCCTTTCTGCCTGAGTTTCCCCATAGATTGAAATTCAAATTCGGCAAGGGTAGGCCGAAGAACGTGAAACCGGAGCTGCTCGGCGACGGTGGCATCGTAGGATTTTTCTTTATTGGAAATGTGACGTTTTTCTGTGCTTGATGCTTTTGCGGCGGCGGATGAATGATCTTCACGGTCTGGGTCGGTGCGCTGATGGTAGACACGCTGGGCAGCAACGTGCTCGTGTCGCTTCCGTTGTCTTGATAATCTACATACTGGTACAAGTAGTCGGAGTCCTGCGAAACGGAAGGCTTCTGCGTCGAGAAGTCTTTTAGGTTCATCCACAATGGTACTGTCTCTGTAATCCCAAATGCTGGCAAATTTCAGTGTCATTTAATAAGCCGCAATATAATTTGTTTGTTGATTTCTGAGAATCCTTTTTGCACGTACAATTTGTAATCAGAATTAGTTACCTCTCAAAAGCGCAATTGAATAGGATAAATAAAAGGAAGGCATTAATTCACGACTGAATAGAAAGTTAATGTGTCAATTAATTTATTTTACTCGGATCATTCATGATTTACCGGATGAGGAGACCGAAGGCGTCGCAACGTTAATCATTTCAGACTCGCATCCTGGGTGAACGATTTCCACGTATCTCTCACGCTGGCAGTCCTGTCGCGATAATCTGAGTTCCTTGAAGAGGGAACCATCGGCGCATCTAGGACCCTCTGAGGAAGCCTGCTGTAGCCATCCTCGCAGCCAAAGCATGCCACAAGAACAGGATAATGGATTTCCTTTCGCAGAAATGAAAGCGGAATATAAACAAAAAGAACGTACTCTCCGAAAATCAGTCAGTGAATTATCTCTGAAAACAGTGAATAGTCACTGTTTTCAGTGCTAATCCACTGATTGTTCTAGTAACACAGTGCATTGGCTAAACATTGGCTTAACATTGTCCATCTTACAATATTGGACCAATAGTGGGAATACTAGATTTATATTATTTCCCAATGTTGCGCCAATATTTAAGAGAGTATTTTGAATTATGCGGATACCGAGGCGTCTTTCGTTAAAAGAAATGGGCGCGAATTAATATTTAATCCTGACGCCGTCAAGTGATTGATTTAAATACAAGGCTTTATGTAACTGTCCGGAATTTAATCTGTATTCTAAATTACCGTCGATGTCCAAGACAGCGATGTTCGATCGCAGCCTTTTGAAGGCGTTCTCGGAGACCGCGGTCATCCGATTGCTTCGCAGACTCAATACCCGTAACCTGGGCATATTGTCGAAAGGCGAACCGTGCACGGCGCAAATCCGATTGTTGTCCATCTGCATGCAGAAAGGAAAACGGTTGTGAGGCGGCTATGTAAAGCGGCTCAGCTATCTCCCTAATTAACGATGCAGGTATACGAATAATTGCTCCGCCAGCAGAACGGCCCGTCTCGCACCATGGTTCACGTAGGAGTTTCACTCTCGACGAGAAAGTATTCTTCTTTATTAGCGAAGGCTCTCGCACTCTCGTTGTGTTATACTTTGCAAGTTAAATCGGATAAATCTTTTGCAAACTGTACCACAGTTGTTTTGAATTTCTAATTATGACGTAAAGAAATATTTACACGAAGTGAAATATATACTGCGTACATAAAGCGCGGGATAATATTTTATCTTTTAAAATCGATCCCGTAAGATCTTGGAGTTTTCGCTAATGAATACCTTTAATTCCACCAGCCACTCCATAACTGCCAAACTGTCGCTGGAAACTCTGGATAATCGATTGTAACTGAGATCCAGAACCTCTAATGAGCGAAGACTCTCTAAACCGACATACTCCAAGTCCGGCAGGTGATTGTGACTTAGATTAAGGAAAAGTAAGTGTGGCACGTTAATGAAGGCATTACTAGCGATTTCCTGAATCCAATTCTCCTGAAGTTCCGCGCTCTGCAGCAGCGGTAATTCGGTGAAAGCGCCGCTGGGGATGGACTGTAAAATATATCTACATTATGTTGGATCTCAGTACAGTAATAATTATAAAGTTTATTAATATTAAACAATTTGACACTAATACACAATATATTTTCCATATGTAAAGATTTTTAATATCTAAAGATACCGGCGCGAATTGTTATTCGTAATAAATAATATAATTTCGGTCATCTACTATCATGGATGTTCGTGAAATTATATTGTTACCTGCAATCGATTCCTGCCGAGTCGGATCGCTTGTAACTCCGGTAACGCTCTAATAGCGTTTCTCTCGATCACTCTGAGATCATTGTTTTCGAGATCGATCAAGGACAATTGTGGTAATCCGTCGAACGCACCCTCCCGCAGCTCCCGTATATGGTTTCTAACCAGTTTCAACTCCAACAAGGACGACAGGCTGCTCAGCGTTTCCGGCGATAGGATGTTCAGCTTGTTGAAGCTCAAGTCGAGGACTTGTAGAGCCGTTAAGCCGTGCAACGATCCGGGTAACTCGGTCAAAGTATTGTGCGACGCGTACAGTTCACGAAGGTCTCTGTAATTGACATTGATGTTACCGTTTTAGGTGCAGGCTGCTTAAACAAATCTCTCCCCGGAGCAGAAGTACGAAAGACGTTTGAAGATGTACGGGAAAAAAAAACGAAACATCCTTCAAAACTTCTTTCTCGCGATATTATTTGTAACATTTTCAACAAAATTTGGAACCTCCTATTATGAATTTATTCAGCTTGATTGCAAATATACAACAACGTGGCTGTCTTGAATATTAATAAACGTGCCAGTTCTAGAAGAAAATTATATGATGTCATTAGAAAATACCTTATCTGCGTTTCAGATCTAGATTTTTTTTTAATAAAATTGAAACATCTTTTACTTAAAATACTTAAAATTTAATCGACGTGATCGAGTTAATCTTGATGAACAAGATTAAATAAAATTGGGTATAAAATCGAGGCAAATTACTGTCAAATTAGTCGACACGCCAGGCCGATGCTACACAACGAGAAAGAGATATTAGCGTGTGCACGAAGAACTTTCTAGGTACCAAGTTAGGAGTGATGCAACCAAGTAACCACGAGTGAAACTACTTTTCCACTATAATACGAGACCGCCAAGTAACGTACGAAGGAGGGGAAAATTACTGCTATTATTATAAACGCGATATACTAAATTTTGGTAATTAAAATAAGCGTGATATATTTTGACATTTTCTATATACGTGATTTTAATACATGCATGTGAAAGCAAGCATAAACATCACATTTAGAAGTAAGCTGAAAATATATTTTATTATATAGAGCATCTTTAATTAATAAGCATCGTCTGTTGATTCCACCATGAATTTATTGCCCTTGGAGCGAAATCTGTTTAGTGGAAAATTCATTGTCAGGTTGTATAATCGTTGCGAAAACGATTTGATAATTGAATTTGGGTGTTGAACACTTGCTATCCCCTATTAGAAACCTATCTCATAATAGAGGACTTTCCTCTATTATTATATAATGATTGTATTATTAAAATTCGCGAATTCCTACCTGGTATTGGCGAAGGTTGCGTGGGGAATTTGTGCGAGATTATTTCTACTCAAGTCAACTCTTTGCAGTCTCGTGTTGTCTTGAAAAATGTCAGGTCGCAGAACCTCCACCCGATTGCCACGAAGATTCACGTCCATCAACGATTTTAGAGGTCGGAAGCTCCGTCCGTGTAACGTGACCAGCCGGTTGCATCTCAAATCTAGCTGTTCCAATGACGTAAGTCCGTCGAAAACGCCGTCCTCTATGAGTCTCAGAGTGTTGTAGCCTAGATTCAATTTTCTCAAATTCGGCAAGTCAGCCAACGTGCCAGGCGTCATTCTGTCGATCCCGTTCGAGCTTAAATCCAACGATCGTAGTGCAGGTAGAGCTAGATCCCGAGAGGACACCGTTGGCAGGACGACAATACGGTTTTTCGGCATGTGAAGGTGTTCGACATCCTTCGGCAGACCAGGGACCACTTCCAGCATACGATTCAAACCGACATCCAGTTCGTACAGGTTCGTCAGGTGTCGGAAGGTCAAGGGATGAAGGACTGACAAGGCGTTCCCGGAAACATTGACGTGCTCCAGCGCCGGTGTGCCCAGAAAAGACTCGGGTTCGATAAGCCCTATGGCGTTACCGCTAAGATCCAGCCGTCTAAGGTTCGGCAGATTAGTGAACAAACGTGGTTCTATGTGACGGAAATAGTTCTCCGAAAGATCCAGACCCTAGAATCGTATACTGATCGTAACTCGATGAAACATCAGTAATATTTACTTTCATTAAGAGAGACTCGAAGCTATGATAAATTCGAAATTAATAAATTACTGAAGAATAACGGACGATTGCATGAAATCCGTGACCGATATTTGAGGAATTTTACAAACACGTTACCTTTAACGCTGGTAAATTCCAAAAGGGTGCCTCCAGTAAGTTTGACAGAGAATTGTTCTTCAGCCTGAGCTCTCGGAGCGCTGGCATCACCGTGAACGTTTCTCTTTGCAAAAATGCCAGCCTGTTATGATTCAGATGGAGCCTCTCCAAAGTGGGATGACCTCTTAGAGCACCGAAGGGTATTTCCTCTAATTGATTGTGACTGGCGTCTAGGAACTTCAGCCTTGGCAGAGCCTCAAGCACCGATCGTATCTCTGCCACGTGACTAAGGTCATTGTTGATCAGCCACATCTCTTCCAACCCGTTTCCTATCCGTTGCGGAAAGAATTCCGGATGGATGCGATGAATCAGATTGTGATTCAGGTCTATGGACTTGAGGGCTGGTACCCGCTGAAAGGCGCCGGCGAATATCTCGGTGATGTGATTGCGCGACAAATAGAGTCGCGATAATACGACGAGATCAACGAAGGAGCCTTCGCCCAGACGATTGATGCGATTTCGATCCAGACGTATCACCGACAGCGATGGGAGATCCACACACGCGCGACCGACCATACCGGCGTCGATTATGGCGTTTCCGACCAACGAGATCTCCTTGAGCTCCGGCAGATTGATCATGGCCCGCGGATGAATCCAGTGGATTCCGGAATCAGTGATGTTGATCAGCTCCAATCGGGGCAGACCTCGAAGAAGCCCGGCTTCCAGTCTGGTCAGTCTCGGGCTGCCTAACACGTGCAGCTGCTCCAGATTGGGAATGTCTCGAAAGTTCCTCGGGACGAGTTCCAGCAGAGCCGGAGAGTTGATCTGGAGATACCTCAGCTTCGGTAGGCTAGAGAATCTCGGTAGTCGCTTCATCACGCGACTCTGTATCGTCACCGCCTCGACACCTTGCAGGTTCTCCAAACTGTCCACGGGTAGGGACCGCAGATCGGGCTCGACGATGAACAATTCCAACAAGGAGTCGTGTAGACCTTCCAGCCAGCCGGAGGACACCCTCTCGAGACGATTGTTTCGCAGCATCAAGCGCAGAACTCGTAAAGCTGCGAACACCTTGCCGGGTAGACTGGGCAGGTTGTTGTTCTCCAAAATCAATTCGTCTACCGGCCGGTCCATATAGTGGCTCACTGCCTGCAGACCTTCCAGTACCTTTGGTAATTCGCTGTGGCTACACCTGTGCGAATTTATAGCGTTCAAGATTGTTCGTGTAATTCTCGGGTTTACGCATCTAGTCATCCAAACTTGCCATATCTGAACCTCCATATTGCGCGTGGAGCATCTGCACGGCAGTATCCTCTCTTGAAGCGGACATCCGTAATCCGGATCTAACTGGGCACCGGCACCGATGGAACGGAGTACCAGGAGCCAACCGACTATCAAAAGCCCACCGCCCTCCGACAACCTGACCATCGCGCATTTGGACCGTAGTTTACGATCGCGAGCACCAGTTCCGCATTTTCTGGAATACGCGTGCATTCGTACACGAGCGGGTGAATTTGCAGGAATAAAGAGATCAAAGAAACGTTAGGAAAAAGTGAATCTCGATCTTCAGCTAGATTGTGCGTTTATAATGAAGATCCATATTCGAAATTTTTCTAAATCATCACTCTTTAAATTGAGCAGCATGAAGAAGAATATTCGGATTTTCTTAATCTTTCCTTCAGGTCACAAATTGCCAGGTCGCTCTTACACGTGATTTTGCGCAAATACAATTGGCTAAATCGCTGCAATATGCAATTTGTTGCCAAAAGACTTATTAAGGAAATGATAACAGCAACGAATGTCGCTGTTTCGACATGTCAGGGGTTACGAAGCGTTTCCGCGAATAGGTACAAGATGACGAATGCGTTGCTAAGATTAGAAATCTCGTTAGCGAAACAACCACCGATTGGTGGGATTTTAGATGTTAAGAGCCCTTGGACGTCACGGTACGCCTCTGTATCCTGAGCACGATGCCACGCACTGTGTACGCGTGTACACACGTCACGGTCGCAAACGACAAAATTGATGTCCCGTACCGTAAGCGAAGTTAAAGACCGCTAGGACAATCATTGTCCGTAATAATTGTCGTCGTGCGAGCACGCTTCTGATGTATAAAGTGATGACCGCCGAGTAAAACTGGAAGATGAATCGGATTAGGATTAAAAATTCGCACTTTGAAGAGAGAGAAAGCTTGGGGAAGTTATTGTACTTTGAGTAGGCTGTATCTTAAAGCACTTTTGTATTTCTAGAAGATAGAATTTGCTATGCAAAATTATATGAAAGTTTGTTAAAAGAAAATGTAATATTTATTTTTTATTTTCTGCGACACATTATCTGCTTTTGTTTTACGATAATATTTTGAGATGGCATTTTGCGTAAGAGGAAAAATAACTTGCAATTAACGCGAATGTTTGTGTATTTATAGAAAGATAAAGGCGTTTACTACGAGCATTCTGTCATGCAGAAAAACGATTTCGTAATATGCCAGTCTTTAAGAAGAAGGAAACAATCGGACGACCTGAAAAGCTATTCGCACGTGAATAACATCGATATAGCGCGATCTACGATAAAACGATTGTAAGTTGCATTGTACCTGTTGCGTTAACGAACAGATTTGTTTCGATACATCTCTGTTTCCGCATTTCAAGATGCTTCCGTGGGATTTGGAAAAAGTTGAAAAATTAATATCACTGATCGTGAACTCAGACAGAATAAAATTAATTGTTGCATAAACTTAATTGCTGTGAAAAAATAGATGTTTTTGAGGCAAGCGGAGATTTTGCATTATAAATATCGGGTTAAACGGAATTAAATTCGTAAAATCTATAGATGTAACATTTCATCAATATAATGTATAAACAGAGTAACATATAAAAAATTCTACTGTGTATCAAATATATTATTCTAGAGGATAGCAAACCAAACACTGGTGTACGCACTAACAAATAAAACAATTCTATTATCGTAAACAAATTAATACATACGTTTCGACCTATAATCAGGTCATCTACAGTGTATTATAATTTTAAACTTTAACGTTTAGCATACATAAGTACTGACGCGGGATATAAATTATATAAGAATCGCATAACAATTTAAATTAATGTAACAATTTGCGGATTGTTATATTAATTTTAATTGTTATGCGATTCTCTCATATAATTTATCCCGCATGTTTATATATTTTTCACTAACATTTTACGATACACAACTTGTATACTTTATTATATATATTAAGGTATTAGTATAAATCTTTCATTCTATGATATTGCTCAATAAAGATGCACTGATAAATGTACAGGTTTTTCGCACAACTCGCGCAATCAGGTGTCTTTCAAATTTATCATGATGCTAAATTTTGCTCGAATAACAGCGTTTGTTTGGCCTCGAATAGATGTATGGATGCAATTTTAGTGAAAGTGATACTCACTCACTTCCTTGATATTTCGCCGTCAGTGACCTCAAGCGTGCATCTCATTTTTATCGCAAATGCTAATTTTATGTCATTATGCAACTATGCGTGAAGAAGATCCTATTCTTTGTTCCAGGGGACATTCTTTTTCATAGTACAAGAATATTAATTAATATCGCACAATGGATTTTTGGCAACTTGTTTCTAAAATATCTTTTTTTATATATATTCATGTCTCGAGAACTGGTTATTTTCGCAGAAGCTTCTTTCGCGTTGCTATATTATTATATTATCAAATATAATAAACAAATTAAAGGATATTTCAATATTATAAACTTGTGCAAAAAGAATTTTTAAAGCGGTTAATAAAATTGCGATTGCCAATCTGGGTATCGAACCATTACAATTTATGTAAAGAAATTCTAATTAATATTAATCTTTTGCTCATAAACTCTTATCTACCTTCTATATTGGCAATGTTCGCCAAATCAGTGTCTTGCTTCTGAAGAGTTCTTTCTCGGCGTGAACAAAATCCACGAAGAAGAACCAAATTTGCTTCTTGAAAATTATTTGCACTTGATGCATAAAAAGAATAATTTATTTTTTATGCAAAAAAACACACACGCACACGCGTTTTATCTTTTCCAACGTCTCCGTGGCCACGAGTGTAGCTTTTCGTAATCTCGTTACGTACTAAATGCACTGAAGAAGCTGTTCGCAAAAGCGTGGTGGTCTGCACAAACTTGAGGGGAGAAGATGACGGTGCCATGGCGTTGGTGATGGCGGGAGGGACGCGAAGAGAATTGCGAAGTGCGTGTCCAGCCACCGTGAAGACACGCTTCCAGGAAATTCTTCCCTTTCCCCACAAATCTCACCGATCGCCGAATGTGTTTAATTCGGTATATCGGTAAAAAACATCGTCTTCCCTTTCGTTTTCCGCGTTTCACGCCTGGCCAAGGTGACCAAGGTCGATTGCAATTTTTGACCGAACTCGCTCGAATCGGTGTTTGAAAGTAGGAAGGACATGTTTAATAAAGTAATTTGACAATTCCTAATGTGTCGCGAAATAAACAATAATTGTTAATTTTACTTGCTTTATGCACATCACCTCCATTATACACTGATTTTATCAGGGTTGGCAAGTAACTCGTTACTTGTATTGATATGCAATGCCATCGTTGAGAAAAGTGGAGCTGACCTAAAAGATAACTGTATTAATAGAAAATATATTAACATACTATAATGCATACACACTCTAGGGAAACTGGATATGATACGTTCAGAATAATGCAGTTAGTAACTCGCGCTCTCTGGATTTACGATCGCGAGTACGTTCGACAATTGATCTTGCAGTAATGTGAATAAATATTAACGGTTATATCTAAACAACAAATAAAATATTAGTTAAATATCACAGCGATCTGTAGAGGAAAGTTCTCTATTATGAGAGGTTTCTAATATGAGAAAGCAGATTTTCAATACCTAAATTCAATCGCAAATCTCTTTCGCAACGATCACACAATCTAACAGTGAATTTTCCACTAAACAGACTTTGCTCCAAGAGCAATAAATTCACGGTGGAATCAACAGATTATGCCTACTAATTTAACAGGAACCCCGCTATCCCACATTAGGAGCATATCGCATAATAGGGGGACTTAACCATTCCATAGGGAACGATCACATATTCGAGATTCCATCTCGAGATCGTTAATTACCAAATAGTTGTACGACTATGGGAGTATTGGTAGAAATTCTCTTCCTCGTAAAAATGTGATGCGTTTATTATAATCGTTACATTATTGCTTCATCTGTGAAACATTCCTAAGATTTTATTTCGCGTATCAACATAATGTGAACGAAAGTTCTTTAGTAACCTTGATATTCACACGGCATCTACAAGCGGCTTATTTATGCTGTCACGTTTTGATCTCGCTATGTGGGACTTTGAGGAATAAACCGGTTTAGGATCGTCCGAGAAAATATCGTCTCGCTATTGGTCGGCCTGACCAAGCCTCCATAGATTACCGCAATCACACACGTCATAAGGTACATAAAGTTATGTAAATTTCTGAATTTAATTCATTCTTCCGGTAAAAATATTCCAGAGAAATCGAAAAATTCTATGCAAGTAGGAAAAGGAAAATGCAAACCTGGGAGAGTAGAATGTTTTGAATTATACAACGAATTATGCATTCGATACTGAAATTCATCCTGTTAATCGATATTGATAAAACGGGCATTATTTCGTTTTCTCACGAGTGACTTTCGGCTGGCAACGGTGAAGTTATTTCTACGAAATTTGAATATGGAATACACAGTTAAGAATATTGGTAAAAATTGAATTAATAAAATATATGTAATACTATAAATATAGAGCTATGACAAAATGGTAAATAAAATCGTATTGATGTGGTATCTGTAAATGTCAGTGTGAATAAGATTGATTAAAATGGGTGCAACGTCAATAAAAAACACTATTCTCTGGCCGATGTTGTCAAACGAGTTGTATATACATAAGGATTGAGAGCCATTTAAAGTCCTTCTCACACCAATTGTAAGTGCAGAAGTGCCGCTATATCCGCTGCGGTTTTATTCTTTTCACAAATTCTTGAGGAAGTATTTTTTTTTAAATAACGAGTACACTTTCGACCGTTTTACGTGAACACAAAAAATAATAGAAATGCCTTTGACGGTTAAGCTGAATCTTAGTGTCCAATTATATTTTTCTTTCGTACAGTGTTTTCTCAATCTAGCGTCAAATGGACTTTTCAGTCTTGAAACACAGACCTAAACCTGAAATAGTGTACATATGTAATTAAATTGACAACTGCGCGTTAATTTAACATTTTTTTCAACTTGACTGACAAAATGTAGACCGGTATTTATAGTCAGATCTTGTATTCAAGACCGTCTTGAATTTATCTAAAGTTGCTGTATGAAACATCTCATTGGCTACGGAGTACATATCTGAAGATGACCTTAAGACGGTCTTGAATATAAGATTTAACTATGAATACTTGCAAATATCTTGAGAATACTTGTTCCGTGAGGCACATCTTTAAGAATTTATCTGACGAAGATAGCGATTGCGACGGGGCAAGCTATCCGTATATTTTTAAAGCAATTCGGAATCTTGTGTTATTGAGAAAACGATCCGGCATATATTTCATTTAAGAGATAAATAATTAATCTGCTTAATGGGAGATGCAGTCTGTCTATTTTAAGAAGCATGACAGATAGTTTCTGCTTGTTTTGCAATGTGATTCTTTTGTGTGCGCGCGCATGTGTGTGTGTGTGTGCGTTGTGAGAGTATTTATGCGAGATATGATCCTACCTAGTGTGAATGGGTCTTTATAGAGATACACAGGTAAGACAGCATCTGTGTTCTAACTGGTTTTGAAAATGGGCTGTAATATAAGGTAGAATTATCATGCTCGAGCTTCCAGTTGTTTATCGACCACCAACAGGGAAAGATTAAATTCTTCGATTCTCTGCTCAATCCATTTGTCTTTGACACAACAATTTCAGACTTTTTTTTATGAATATAAATATTTATCGTGTGAAAGCCATCCAATATCAGATAGAAAGACCGGCGGGAAAGATAACAACGTGACAGCGAGATCTCTTATCTCTTAAAAATAAAAAATTGTGGTGTATAAATTTTTAGAATAATGTTATACAAAAGTGTTATTCGCTTCTCATGCCCCTTCACGAGAAACGCTCGTAGAAACTTCCACGTAACCATCAATCCCCTTCGTAAGATAATCAAGGAAACAGGTAATTCCAAGGAAACTGGTTCTGTCTATACAGAAAATGCGGTCAAACCTCCTCGGATACTAATAACAGGTGAGCAATAAAATAACATTTGATTAGATAATTAACATTTAAATAATATTGTAAATAATACTTGTTCAATTATCTGATAATTTTACATTATTCGACAACTAGTTCGTACTATTAATGCGATATCGATTAAGATTAAAAAATGCCTGCGGTATGTTCTCATTGTTCATTTTGATATTTGAAGTAATTCGAAAAGCGGAGTTTACTTTTAACGAAACAGACGACATTAATCAGTTACTAAAAATAACATTTTATTCTTCGTTATATTTTCACGTTCGTACTTGATACGTTTCTGATCCAGTTGTCAAGTTTGAAGATATTTCATATGTGAATGCAATCGCAAGTTTTCGCAATATATTTTCGCAGTTTGTGTTTTTATCACGAGGCATTCTCACGTGTCTTTTGTGTATAAAAACATATCACAAGGATGACACTACACGTCGATATCCGCGGTCTTTCACGAAAGACGCAAGGCGCTTCTTTCGTCGAACGAATTCTCATGTCGTACGTGCGTTTTGTTCAGGTGGTCTCGGACAATTGGGCACGGAATGCGCGAAATTGCTTCGTCGAAATTACGGCAACGAGAATGTCATACTGTCAGACATTATCAAGCCGTCGGAGGAGAGCCTGGAGAACGGGCCCTTCATCTTCGCCGACATCCTCGACTTCAAGGGTCTGCAGAAGATCGTCGTGGACTGCAGGATCGACTGGCTCATCCACTTCAGCGCTCTGCTTAGCGCTGTCGGCGAGCAAAACGTGCCGCTGGCTGTCAGAGTCAATATCGAAGGTAAAAAAATAATCACCGCGTGATCGTGTCATTCGATCGAGATCGCGTGTCATATTGTTAGCAGCAACGCGTAATTACTTCTCGTCTTCCTCTTTAATATTTAATAAAACGCGCAAAACCTCTCGTGCGAGGACGTGCGTGGTTTTTCCGCGAACTGCGTCCGAGTGAAATGGAATGTTGTGCCGACGAGTGAATTTGTCATTACGATATTAATTATGACGCGGTCGTGATCACGAGGGGAAGAAAGTGTCCGGGAGAAAGCGGACCTAAAGTATAGCAGTCGAAGCGCGATAGATAATATCGCGATTTACAAAAACTCGCCTGAAAGACGGAACCGAGACCGGGAAGTACTTTCGGAAAGAGGCGAGCGGAGCTGCGTACATAAATTCCCCTGAAGACACTCAACGCTCGCGAATATTTACTCACGTTGCACATTATTATTCCATCTGTTTCTCTCGCAAAACAATAGGAATGCACAACGTCATTGAGTTAGCGAAGCAATATAAGCTACGGATCTTCATTCCGTCGACGATCGGTGCATTCGGTCCCGACTCGCCGAGGAATCCCACCCCGAATGTTACCGTGCAACGACCCCGTACGATCTACGGTGTCAGCAAGGTCCACGCCGAGCTCTTAGGAGAGTATTATCATCATCGCTTCGGCCTGGACTTCCGATGCCTACGATTCCCCGGTGTAATCAGCAGCGATCCGCCCGGCGGCGGCACCACCGGTGAGGATGTCGCCTCTCCTTTATCCTCACACTGAAAGACAAAAGTTCCCTACTACCGTAGCATGGTTTGCTAAAAATATTTCACTGCCATAACTTCAAATTGCTAAACCGCAGCAAACGGTTCGCTGTTGCAACTAATACAATAGGCACAGTAGCAGTTCCGTCTCTTCCCAGTGAGAAATGATTCGTCGATCGACGTCGAAACGACGTCGAATCGACATCGACACCGTCGAATTGACGTCGATTCGACATCATTTCGACGTCGATCGACGAATCATTTCTCACTGGGTTTCTAAGAGGACAGTGAGAACAAGATAAAGCTGTTTTCTTTTAGCATTTTCATCACGTTGTAAAATACAGAATTGACTCCCTGACTAACGATTAACAACTCATTGTACACCGGGCTCACACGGAAAGTAAAATGTAGCTGTCGTAGCTAAAAACTGCATCCGGCAACTAAATTTCAGTTGTAAAATATGGACGGCTAATGTTTACTTGCGATAGCTGAATATTTTCTACTGTGCCTATTGTATTAGTAGTGAAAATGCTAAAAGTGAGCGGCTTTGTCTCTTTCTAAGACGACAGTCAGAAGCTGCTCGCTTTTAGTATTTTCGCTATAGTGTAAGATACAGAATTGACCACCAGAAGTCGGTAGTATTGATCCTTTTCCTTTCTGTAGCGGAAGAAAAAAGGAACGACATATCGTTTTGACTTCTGACTAACGGCTAAGAACTCATTCTAGACCGGGTCTTATCACACGTTTAACAAACGTACATCAGAGACGCGTAAACACATTTTATAATGTTGAAACGTGTGGTATAATTTTACTTATTTACCGTTAAAGATGTCAGCATTCGCCATTAAGTGCGCGATGTGAGTCAGCACATTTTTCTCGCTCATGTCTTTCTTTTTTTAATAATGCGCCTATCTGTCTCTTTAAGAATGCGCCGCCAAGGAATATTAAAGTGAAATATGTATTTTTCAAACGAACGTTGCATGTTCAAGCTCTCCGATTCGTAGCAAGATAATTGTATTCATGCTTAAGAAACGCTTAATGCCGCATGTAGAATAGGCTGATAACTGAAAATTGATATCTTTTACCTTCTTTCGCAAAGAACTAGAGCATTAACCGATTAAGATAACTGCATAATGGTGGAATGTATCGTTTCTCAAGGACAATGCTACTGGCGGCTAACGCAGCGAATCTCGATTGTAGTCGCTTGTTTTTTCCATTTTCCTTTCCAATGCGTCAAGTATCAACAAATAAACCGACGATGATGAAAGACACGTTTTTACAAACATGTCATCGTGATATTTCTCACGATAAATCCTTCACAAAATGCTTATTAGCATCACTATTATCGAATTGATTAGCAATTTAATTATGTGATTGTACTCTAGCTTTAGCTGGAGACTGCAAGACCGATAGCGATCGATGCGTAGTTTGTTAAACGAAAAATGTAAATTTATACGAAAGTATTAGTGAAAGGTCCATTATACAATCGTATATTGACATATTTATATTTCTATCATCATTTATTCTGTTGTTCACTTCGTTTAAGCACTTTGCGTAAATCGACAAAGACTTCATTGTCACCGTAATTGACCTCTTTACAGAAAAATTGCACGCAAAATGCAGCAATGAGAGAAAAACAGATTCCCTTTAGTTAATTAGATTATTAAATTGACGAAGAAGCCCCTTCAATTAATAATCTTCTGCTTTCTCTTTATGCCTTGTAGATTACGCTGTAGCAGTATTTCACGAAGGGCTATTGAATAAAAGATACGAGTGCTACTTGGAGCCTCAGACGAGACTGCCGATGATATACATCGAAGATTGCCTGTCGGCACTCTTTCAGTTTCTGAATACACCTGACGAATTACTGCGTAGACGGGTTTACAATGTCACAGCTATGAGTTTCACGCCCGAGGAGCTGTTCAACGAGCTCTTCAAGTATATACCAGATTTGAAAATCACATATAAGCCGGACAAACGACAATATATCGGTACAATATGTATTATATAATTCGCATAGATTGTACTTTAAGTAAGAAAAAAAACAATTGAATAAAAAGTTTGTTATTACGTTGATCTTAGCGGAGAGCTGGCCACAAGTTTTCGATGATAGCGAAGCACGGCGGGATTGGGGATGGCAACACAAATACGATCTACAGAGGCTGGTGGAGTCGATGGTGCGGGACGTTAGCACGAATTTCCTACCGAAGCATCGACTGAAAGAGGTCAGTAGCTATGTATAATTCTGTACAATTATACATAGTTACAAACTTCTTTCAATTGACGTACGTTTTATGAACTATTATATGATATAAATTGAACAATCAGCTGCCAGCTAAAGTCCTCTAAAGGAATTATGAAAGAAGTTAATAGTTAATATAATTAAGTAAAAATGGGCACGTTTGAAGTATTTCCATACAGTATTTGTGTATAATCGAAACAAAGTATGGTATAACACATTGATATCTCAGGAATTGGATAAAAAGACAGTGCTTCTTATATTACAAAGAAGTTTTTTAAATGTATTATAATTGAATTCGAAAGTCCGAATTTCGAGAATAAGTGGAAAAGAACACCTTTAAAATTTTAAATATCTGAAAAACAAAAAAACAGTTGAATGAAATTTTCTAAAAATTTCAAGCAACTTTTACTTGAATTTCCATCTTCTAAAAATCGTACGATTAAAAATTATGGGTTAAAGAGCTAGATATTGTATACATAAGTAGTATTTATTAAGTTAAAGTCAGTTTGACAACTATTGACAAAAGTATTGATAAATAGGATTAAAAAATATATTTAGAAAAATTTCGTAATACAAGTCCACAAAATATAAATAGTTATACAACACAGAAAGAACGCTATTTATTAACTCTGATCCATTGCGTCTATATCCATAAATTCTGTAAAATCATCTTCGTTCAGCATTTCCGCGATGTTTACTGGTGTCATTTTATTCTTTTTTGAAGGCGTTTGATAACTCGCTCTTTGATCTTTCCTCAAAGGTGTACTGATCGCATCTGTACTTCTCGTAGGTGTAACATATTTATCGTTTCTTTTTGGCGTTCCAGCAAACTCTGTATTTCTAGAAGGTGTAGGATATTTATCGCTTCTCCTTGAAGGCAGGCTTCCAGGAGTTCCGACCGTACTTTGCGAGAATTTCTCTTTGTTATCTATGTCTACAAATAAAATGTGACATGATGCGAAAGCTGAAATGTTTTTGCTCCTAAAATAAAAGCAACTCTCCTTACGCACCTTTGCCACCATCGTCTTCGGTGAGAATTGCACGGCTTTCAGCAAAGTATGCATTTGGATGTAGAAGTGGTTTACTTGCTGGTTTATTGTGCATAACTTCAAAATACTTGCTACACGCCAAGTGATATTGTCCATCCTTGGCCAAGTCCAATATTTCGGTCATGTCTAGAGAATAAATTGATATAAGATTTAAACGTAGAACACTTCTTTCTTTGCAATAGTAACGAAATCAATGGTCTTACTGGAGGCGAATACACCGCAATTAGTTAACTTTTGGCAAAGTGAATCGCGATCCATATGTCTGAAAGGACATCCGTGGTATTCTCCAGGCCCGACAGAGCTGTTTATAATTTTCTGACAACCGTATGGAGTGTAATTCGTTTGTTTCCCCTCTTTACCGTAAAGGTGCCTAATGGAGTACGCATATTTCTTGTCAAATGTAACCCCGTCTGTCCTTTTCAAGAACGCGTCTTGCCAAAAACGAAGAGAATCCTCTAGAGTCACGCCTATACCTTTCAGAAATAACCCATACTGCAGGCGCCCTGAATTTTTCAAATGATTGTTGGCGTGCAGCGCTTCATGAATTGTTCTCATGCACAACGGATATGACGATTTGGATAACTGAAAAACATTTTCAGAATAGACTTCAAGCAAGACGAGCGTAAGAAAATTAAATTCCTAGCTGGAACAACAGTTCATTTATACATCATTCAGCTTGTCGATGGGAGTGGCTGTAGACGACCACACGACACGCCCCATTCCAGAAAAGGCCGAAGGAAGACCTGTTAAGTATTGCGTCAATCTATCGTCATCGGATATATTGTTGTATAGAATTTTTGAACTCTGCAAATTAAACAAGTTAATTGAATGTAGTCCAGGCTAATTTTTCGAAACTGACGGAATGCGCTACACACCTCTAATCCTGCAACTAGATTTTCTCTAAAATAGGAGACAAACACAGAACTGAGGTCCATATGAGTGATGTACGCCATCCCAGCTTTGAGGTACACTTTGCGTCCTCTGACCAAGTCAGTGACTTTCTCGAAAGGCACTTTATAAATGTCAGCGATATCAATATTTGTAACTTTCCCGGATGACAAACTGAGCTCCTCCTTCAGCTCAAGTTTCTCATCTTGCGCAATCTTAAGAAACATTAACGATCAGATTGCAACACGTATGTGACACTGGTATCTCTTAAGTCTCGTGTCCACGTTCCAAGTTTCGAGAAATGTGTAGCCGATGAACTTGCAGCTTTTCTGTAAGAGATGCAGGATTGACTGGCACATTTCTCAGAACTTGGACACAGTTCTTGGATCGTGGACACAAGACTTCAACAAAGTATGATAAAACGTACAGGTGTGCAATTCAGGTTGCTAATACTAAACAGCTGCTCAATGCCCTTCTTATCTAATGAGCTAAATCTCAATTTGAAGAATTCGACCTCCTGGTTGACGAACCACCGGACTTGCTCGACGTCGCGGCAGTACACTAGTCTCAAAATAAAATGCGCTATGTGATCTTTCCTCCTGGTCTGCGAATGCTCCTCCGACTGGGGATTCGATCCGTCGGCGTGCAGGAGATTCGCGTAGTACTTGAGGCCGTCGGACTTGAGGGAGTCGCCGAAGGCTCTCTTGCGGTCCTCCAGCGTTTTCAGGTCGCCTCTGCAATTCGTCGCCTCCAGCTGCCGTAGAACTGCGACAAAATCGGTTACGTCAACATCGACGACGAGAGAGACACACACAGAGAGAGAATCCCTGGAAGGTTACCTTTCAATCTGTCGAACCCCAGTTCCTGAAATTCCTCCAGCGACATTTCGCCGAGCGGCGGCACATCGTACATCTGTATGTCGTTGGGATAATCGTTGTCGAGGCCGTTCGCGTCCACGACGCTCGTGTAACGTCTGCGTGCCTTGTAATCCATCGTGTCTACGACGGTCTACCCTGGGCTGCGCAGACAGACCGAAGGCGAGCACCAAGTGTGGCGGACGCCGCGCAAACTGGTAACATTCGCTATCTCCCGATCCACGTCCTCGGCTACTCGCGACGAGCAATGGGAAACGCGAGGGAACGAGAAGTTCCACGTGCGAAGACCACCGGCGTGCAACTCCACGCCATGACACCGGTTTTCCCGCCCTTTTCCTCCGCCACGTGCCACGTGATCTGAACCAGCCATGTCGGACTGGCCGCCTTTTTCGCGCATGCGAATCATCCCAAACGTCATCCCACGTGGCTTGGGAGGCTGTCATTTAAAACCCAGAATACTTGGGAGAAAATTTATCGTTCGACTATTCTTCCCGAATTATCTCGCTCTTGAGAGAACTGGGATCTGTACCTGTATTTTCAAGTAGGATTTGTTTTTTCAGTATTTTTTATCGACTATTCAGACAGCGAGCCTTATTAGCAGACGATAGATGGTGTCGTGTTGCTTTCGCCAGAGAGAAACCTGAGAGCGGCCATCCCGGCGTTTTGCCTGTTATGCCCATTCTACACCTAGGGATGATCCTACTTGTGGCTCATCCGATACTTCTTCTATACCTAAAGCTAATCCTACTTGCAGCTTATCCGAGGGAGTAGTATAAAGTGTAAAAGGTTTACACTTTGGTTGGTTTCCAATCGTACCAAAGTACAACTACAGTGTACCCTTTTACACTTTATACTACTCCCTCGGATAAGCTGCAAGTAGGATTAGCTTTAGGTATAGAAGGGGTATCGGATGTGGTAAAAGTAGGATCATCCCTAGGTGTAGAATGGGCAATAGTCAAAGCTTCGGGCGAATTAAGGCCTTCACACATAAAATTCCGTAAGGACGTAAAACGTAAGCATAAGAAAATCGACCAATCACAGTCGAGAACGTAAGGCAATGACGCAAGCAGTAGCAAATCCAACCTGTTGATTTTCTTACGCTTACGTTTTACGTCCTTACGGAATTTTATGTGTGAAGGCCTTTAACCGGCCGCCGGCGCCGAGTCACTTCGTCGCACAGGTACGTCGAACGCCGAACGAAAAAAGAATCCACAGCATCACTTGATCACCGGCGCGGAAGGTAACGAACGTTGTTTCCGAGTCTTGAGAATCCGTTCAGATTTGCTCGCCGTGCTCGCTCAGTTACACCGCCGGCTGAGAGACGTCGAATGCGATTGGCCGATGCGCGGAGAGAATGGCACTCAGCGGCTCGCACGAAATCCGTCTTATCGACTAGAGATCCCTCGAGCGAGTGACTCCCGTTTCACCTCGGCACGTATGTACGTTGAAACGCCGAACGAGACACAATAGACGATCGCGCACCAGCCGACGCGGAAGGTAATAACTTTAGTAATAACCGTGGGTCGTTTCCGAGTCTCGAGAATGCGTTGGAAGCGCGCGCTCAGTTGCGCCGCCGGCCGACAAACTTCTAGAACGATTGGTTGATTCGCAGGGAAGCTTTGTCCGGAGAGAATGGCGTTCGGCGGCTCGACCGGCCGCGCGACGCACGAAACACGTCCTATCGACTCGAGATCCCGCGGGCGACTGACTTCTAATAGTTCTAATTCACCTCGGTACGTACGTTGAAACGCCGAAGAAAAAACAATTGAGAATCACGCGTTAACTGAAGTGGAATGTAATAAAAACGTTATTTACGTTACTCGGTGTACGGTCAAGGGCAGGCGACGGTGCGGCGGCTCGAGCCGCCGCCGGCCGTGAGCCGGCGCGCGCGACTGGCT